AATAATCATGGAAGTAGTGGTAATAATCTAGAATAGTCCCTTGAACAACATTTTAAGGTCTAAAATAATACTACAAATACTACAAGTACTCATAAACAACTTACTGTAGCAAGAAAAATATTAAGAAATAATATATTTAATTCTGCTTTTGTCGGTTTGATTAGTAATCCAACAATTTCTTAACTAACCCCTGTAAGATACATACTTATTAGTGAAGTGGCTTTAAATGGTTACATTTTCTACTTGTACATTCCACCTTAATCAAAACTGATGCCAGACTATCTGGTGTTAACATTTTTAGTTTGGCATTTATCTAATTTTATACTTTTCTTGTGAGTTTTGATATTTTCTTCAGATGCATTTTTCAATATTGTATACCTGATCTTTACTGGTCTGTTCCATCAAGATGTCTATTAACATGCTCTTCAATATACCCCGTGGTTGCACTAGGAGGAAACAAGATGTTACAAATTGGGCATTCACGCTGATCCAAACTTGGCATTGGTACTTGTGCTGGCGATGATGGTGGTGGTGCTCCTGGTACTGATGGTAGATGGAATGGATCCTGTGCTGGTCCTGGTGTAAAATATGGATTAACAGGGGGAGGGGTGGCCTCTGGGTTCCTTGCTACAAGAACCCATTGTTGACTGCATGGACTATGCATTCTTCCATGAGAGCTTTTATTCCAGGGCCATTGGATAGGAGGAGACCTTTGATCTGTAACAAATAATTCAATGCTTAATATCAATTTAATGCTTAAGATATGGTATGATATTAAAAGAATTAAGCCTGCTTAACACTAGCATCAGAATCGGAAAACACAAACTCAATAGTATACTGTATATTAACAGTACTTGTCTTTTTCACACTTTGGTGATGAATGCAATACTGAGTCTGTATGTTTCTTCGTATTCTGATGCTTTGTGAACCAGGCTTTAGGTTTCATTTTTGTTTTGAGCTTAGGAAAAAGGAAGGAATGTAACATCGCGATAGACCTACCTGGAGATGTTTGTTGGTACTGGTCTTTAGTTTCAGGTGTTTCAGATGATCCAATCATCTTTGACTCAGCCTCAACATGCATATCCACTTCTTTCTTCCATCGTTCAATTTCTTCAGTGAGTTTCTGGACTGTGTCTTCCAATTTCTGGATTTTCTTCCTAGCATCTTCTCCCAGTTTATCACGTTCACATTGTTCTTGTGCTAGTGACATTTGTATTTCCTCTATCTCTTTATTCCTTAAATCTCTCTCCTGTTCCCATACTTTTAGCTGCTCTTGCAAGTTCATTATTTCTTCAATGAGATTGTGTTTTTCGGATTTCTCATTTTGGAACAGTTCTTCCAACTGGGCTAGCCTGTTTTTTCTCTCGGCATTGTCTGTTTCCAATGTTTTGATGTAAGAAGTAAGTTCAGCCTTTTCTTCTTCATATTTGGTAAAAGAGGATGCCTTTTGGTGGCTCTCAGACTCCACCTGCTCTAGACTCACTTTCAGTTTATTCAACTCAAGTTTTTTCTATTGAAAACGCATGAAAAATAAGTCCAGTTATAGCTTATTCAATTGAAATTTCTATTGAATGAATAAATATAAATATAAATATAAAAATATATTAAATATTAAAAATTAATTATCATATTTGTATTGATTGTATATATAAACGAATGCTTATGTATCTCTACCTTTTGATACTAAATTATTCTCATTCCTTTCGAGGGACAGGGTTATAAAAGGATTGTTTGGAAAAATTTAACATCAAATCATAAATAACCCAACATATTGCACAAACATTTGAAGTATACACTCAGAACAATACTAAGCATGCACGTCCAAGGATCCAAATTGAAAAATTTTATGCAATCACTATTTATAATACTCCTCATTAATATGTACTGTTTAATAAATTTGCAGGAGTCTTTTATCAGTACTTAAAAACACAAGGTGTAGCTGAGTGTTTTTAGACCTGATAAAACATGATCTGTGAGTTTATTGAATGGCTTAAAAAACTGATGATGTATGTTCTCATATTGTACTGAATTCTTTACAAAATAAACCAAGTTTGATAGAGAAAATCCAAGTTAAAGTTTATGCAAATGAAGACGAATCTATATCAGATATAAAACCTCCTTCATGGTCATGATTTCTATTGTGTTTCCTTCATGAATTATAAATGAGTTTTTTAAGTGCTATATGACAGTGACATTTCATGGAGATTGCGCACAAACTATTTAAGATATGATTTCTTTTAACTTGGAATTTTACAAAGTAATGTATGTTGGCAGATAAAATTTGCTGCCAGCAAACATTTGTTTTCATAAGAGTTGTAGGTTCAACATTCTCTAGGTTATGGACAATCTTTATGAAACTTTACAATCTTACTGATAATATATATAAAAAGTTTGACTGCAAACTCTCTTTTTTGTTGATAAAACAAACAAAACATAAATAAGATATTTGGATGGCATGACGTCACAGTGAAAAATATTCCTCAATATTCAATTAACAGAAAACTTGCCTATTCCCATTCTAGCAAATTTCCATTAGGTTAGCACTTTCTAAGAAAATGATGACCTCATCAAGAAAATAAATTACAGCTGACAAATACCTACTACATTTATTGTAGTCTTAGTAATGGCCAAAAACAAACACTAAAAAAATGCTTAGTCATAAAAAACATAAAGGACTGATGAATATCTTCTATAATTCAAGAAACTAATAATAATGCCAATAAATAGTTATTATTAATGATAATGTACATCTAATTGTAGTAAACCATACAATTGTTTTTACTCTCTTTGCTTTTTATTAGGTATTTTTCTTGTTTTCCTTACCTCTTCAAGCTCTTCATTTATCTGTTGGTACTTCTCCTTCTCTGCTTCTAGAGCTTTCTTTGCATCAGCTCCTGCAGAACACTCCTCCTCCAGTTCTTGTTGTAACTTCATTATGGCTGTGCTGTCAGATGGTGATTCAGACGATGATGAGTTTTGGAGCTTTTTCAGCTGATTCTTTAGCCTGTGGCATTCAATAAATTTTGATTTATAGGCTTCAGCTCCCATATTCAAGCGTACCCGAAGATCTTCATTTTTAGCTCTGAAATCTTCTATTTCATGTCGTAAATCACTTGCAGGAAGACTGCTTTGAATGGCACCAAGAGCTCTCTTGAGTTCGTTCTTTTCTTTCCACATTTCTTCAAGGCTTTTCTTGGCTTCAATATATTTCTTTTCAAGGTGCGTGTGAGCTGTCTGAAGTGCATACATCGATGCAGCTGAATTTCTGGAAGAAGTTTTATTTTTTCCCTTGGTATCATTTAGTGACGTCTGGAGAGACTCCTTAGCAGATTTCAGTCCTTTGACCTCCTCATTTGCAGCAGAGAGTTGAGCAAATGCAACCTCGAGTCTCTCTTCCAAAGATTTCACCTCATTCTTTTCTTTTTCAAGCTCTTCTTGAGCTTCTTTTGCTTCTGCTGTCTTGGTCTCCAAAAGCTGGTTTTGCTCAGCATTGGCCTGTAACTGATGCTCTAGTTGCTTTTGGAGCTCAGAAACTGCAGTATCAGTTTGAGCACACAATGAGTGGTTTAAAGCTTTCTCTCCCTCTAACTGGTTTTCTATCCCTCTAAGTGCAGCTTCATAGTCCTCTTCTAATGCCAAATTTCTCCCCTTTTCTGTTTCGATTTTATTTTTCAAGTCTTCAACCTCGTATTCCAATGTCTGGATCTCATCTCTCTTCATGATACCTTCTTCTATAAGTGCTTTGATCTTGTTCTCAAAACTAACTGATTCGGCCAAAGCTGCATCCATAACCTCATCTTTTTCCTTCTCCAGCAATTTTACCTTAGCTGTAAGCTGCTGAACGGTATCTTTGAGATCCTTGAGCTCAGTGTTCTTGACTTCCAACTTCTTCAGTAGCATTTGCAATTCCTTTTTGAATTTTTCAGATTCATTTTCTGCCTGCGATTTAGCCAGAAGGAATTTATCCTTTTCACCTGTGAGCTGATCTTGTAAATCTTTAATCATAACATTTTTTTGTTCCACGTCTTGCTTGAGTTTTGCAACTGCTGAGTTCAGATTTTCTTTTTCCTCTCTTAGTAACGAGATTTCTTCAGCTTTCTTATTCACATCTGTGGAAAGATTCTCTACAAGCTCTCTGTTCTCTGCAATTTTTTGCAGATACTGCAGTTTTTCACTCACCAACTTGTCCCGACTTTTTTGCACTTCTGAGCACTGTATCTGTTCCTTTTCAACAATTGTAGTAAACTCTTCAACTTTCTTGTTCGAATGCTCAACAATAACCATCAATTCCTGCTTGTTTTTCTCCAAGTCTTTGACTGACGCCTCCAGTTCTGTGATCCGCTTTCCCAACTTTTCCAGTTCTTCGTTTTTCTCGCCAACTTTTTTGTTTGCCTTATCCAATTCCTTGGAAAGAATTGAATTTCGTTTTCTTTCGTGGTTGACTTCAGCTTTTAATTCGGCCTTTCTTTTCTCCAGACCCATGACTGTTTCAGTCAATCTCTCTAAATCGCCTTTCATCCTTTCGATAGAGACTTTTAGTGAGGTATTTTCTTCGAGAGCTCTTGCCAAAGAATCCTCAGCGATGGCGGTCCGATTTTTTACCATCAACATACTTTCATCATCTTCTACTTCACAAAACTCAAACTCCGTCTCGTCGGCCTTCGTTTTTATTTGAAATGGTACACTCGCTCCCCTTACTTCCCCGGAGCTATTAACGTAGCAAAACTGATAGAATTCTTCATCACATTTTGGTAGATTTTTTGCCTTAAAAACAACCATGTTGTGAACGGATTTACCTTCTTCCTGTGCTCCCAAGAACGGCGACCATTCAAAGGTATAATGTTCCTTCGAATACTGCCATCCAACTTTAAATAAACCAACCCAATCCCTATTTGTCGCCTTGACGGACGATTTTATGGTATAACAGCATTCGATACCTTTATCGGGAGAATAAACATCAGCGACTCCACGGAAAACAACAGCAGTAAAATCAGCATCCTCTACCTTCGCATCGGGACTTCGCTCGCTAAGCGGAATATCCGCGTTAAGATTTGCTTTTCCAGCCATTTTCCTGGTTAACAAAATTTCTTCCAGTTCCTTCTCAATTGGAAAAGAGATTCATTTGGTAAATAACAAGTAAACAGTATGTTTAGAACGCGGAAAAGATTTCCTCCAAAACGAAACTGAAATCAAATTTGCTGCGTGCACAAACAGTCGTCGATTGTTTTATAAGGCAGCCGATGACTCTCCGGAGTTGCTATTTTTAGAAAAATACGACACGGGGCTGACACGGGGACACACGGATGTCCACGGATGAAAGATACGTAATTGTTCGGAACAGCGATCCACGAGCGAGTCATCTCGAAACATCTACGACGAGCTACGTCGGGATGGACTTCGTTAGAAGCTTGAAAGTTAGCCGAAACAATAAAACCTTTTGGTCGTTTGTATAATTTAGTAAAAAATTCAAATCTAATTAATATAAATTTAAAACTATGCTACCGAACTTCGGATAAATACTTCCAGTTGCAAGCATCCCATCCGAGATTACGACATATTTTTACCGCCAACGCACCGTCGCGTCATAATCAACCTTGGCCAACCTTCATACTTCATTCTAGTATTTATTTCACGTTTAACTTTCTAATTTTTCCCTTAGCTTTTCAGTTCTACCACAAGCTTACCAAAGGAAATAGGATTCATATTTATTATCTTCTTTAGCATTTCATTTATTCGTTCCATTTTAATTTCTAATACTTGACAAAAGGTTGTGATGGGGAATCATCGGGGAATCAGTCGGCAAATCATGTGTGGGAAGACATCGACATGCAGGAAGAATTAGGCCATCCCTAAAAATTCTTCTGAATCGCTATACAAATTTTTACGGTGACTATATCATAGCTATACTGAATCGAATGCAAGTTTTCAAGTGTACTATGGCAGAGACCGTGCACCAAGTCATGTCGAGGAGAACACGGATGTCACGTAGCAAACACAGTTTCTGCTGAGCTCATTATTTCTATAAAGCCTGATATTACTGGTAAAGCACTTCATGATGTTTACTGAAAAAACTAACTGTTTCTACACATAAATACATCGTTTGGCATACTACATGCAAACAATAACGTCAAAAAAAGTTTATTTCAAAAACTGGCGATAATGTTATCTTAGCAAGTCACGTGATATGTGACGTCATACACCCAAAATCGTTGGGGTGACTGACAGGGCACGTGATTACATCCCTGCCAAGTTTCGTAATCACAGGTTGTATTGCCGCGGAGAAAGTGGGACAGGGGCCACCAGAGGTGCGTGGGGCCAGCAGACGTGGAGCCACCAGACGTTTGGCACGATGGGGTCACCACAGGTGTGTAAGAATACGGCATGGGAAATTTTCAATTTCTATCTTGTGTCTTTGTTAGTAGTTTTATAGACGGTTTATCGTCATGGTTTAGCCATAAAACGCTACTTATAGGTCACGTGACCTGTGACGTCACGCTGCCAGGGGGTTGGTTACCATCAGCGTTGGCATACAAAGACTTTAGTAGTGCAATAACGTCAAAAAAGGTTCATTTCAAAAACTGGCGATAATGTTATCTTAGCAAGTCACGTGATATGTGACGTCATACACCCAAAATCGTTGGGGTGACTGACAGGGCACGTGACTACATCCCTGCCAAGTTTCATAATCACAGGTTGTATTGCCGCGGAGAAAATGGGACAGGGGCCACCAGAGGTGTGGGGCCACCAGACGTGGGGCCACCAGACGTTGGTGGAACGTGCCAAGGTTACTTGGATATTTGAAGACAAAATACAGAATTTCGTTTCCAGTGGTAGCCCCGAAAATACTAACCTCTTCCTTTATTACTCTGCAGCCAATCTTTGTTGTACCCAGGGACACACCCTGGAAAGAACCAACTTAGGGGAGATGACTTAAGGACGGTGCCTACTATAAGGGGCTGTTTATATGGAGCGAGCCAGCCCGGTAAGCATACGAACTCGTCCCGCGAAAATCAAAAAAAAAAAAACATGGCGGCATGCGCAGTAGGATCAAATCCAGCCCGCTTACCGGGCTGGTTCGTTTATATAGGAATTTTTCCATCCCGCTTGCCGAGATCTCGGCACCGCCCAACCGAGATCTCGGTAAGCGGGCCAGCCCGTCTCCCCATATAAACACAAAGCATTTTTAGCAACGAAAAGAGGCCGAGCCGATATCTCGGCAAAGCGGGCTAGCCCGCTTACCGGGCTGGCTCGCCTCCATATAAACAGCCCCTTAGAGTTGCATTAGAGTGGTTCCTTTTAATATTTTAGGTTTGTCTAATAGCTACTATGCTACTACTATGGTACACCACCGATGGTCACATTCTCTTCCCTTTCTCAAAAGATCTTTGATTGTTGATTGGGATACCTGTGCGTTTTATTTGCGACGCTTAGTATTGGCTGATTATATTGGTGGATGTCTTGCTGACACTTCCGTTCAACTTTCAGCTTGATTGCTTCAAGTTCCCTCCTCTTCGGGATTTGATGTAAACTTCACTCTAAAACCCGAACTTTTAGCACATGAACTGCAACCATAACCTGATGCCACATTGTTAAAATCGTAAGTAATTCCATAATGCTTGAATTTCTTTCTCTCTGACCAAGAAATTAGATGTTTTGATCAAAGTTTCCGAAGGTCTTCGATCCTACAGTATTAGAGTATGTACTCTGCCTGTCACTGAGTAAAAGATATAAAATAAAGTGATAACAAACATCACGCGATTTTTTACATTATTAATGCGAAATTTTCAAATAATATTCATAAAGGCCACGGTAACTCAAAACTAGTTACAGTATTTTAGATACGATATGCTGATGAGCTGATGCGGCTTGAAAGGCAGCTGATACGGATGGACGGTGTCAACTTAGTTTGTGACTGCAAGTTGAAATTTTTTTTTCGGTTTAAAAAACACAAGAATCAATTTGACAAGAGTCTGCTCTCTTCCATAAGAGGTGTTTTCTTGAATTTATTTGTACATAAGAACGTAAATTGATATTCAAGTTATGATTCGCAGATGAATCATGAAAGGTGCAAAATGTAGTTACAAGTTATATTTTTCTCTTGTTTATATAACGATACTTGCTCTGACTTGTACGTTTCTGCTGTTGTTTTTGCTCTTAAAACATAGTAAAAGATCTTCCGAGTCTAGCGAAGGAGTGACATAAAAGCGTTTATCTTGCATACAGTTAGCATTTGATCCCTAAAATCTTAGAGCTTAATGAAATAAGTAAGTCATATATATAATATTTATAGTTAAGAACATCTGCCAAAACGTAGTCGACTGTGTTGGGAGTTTTCAATCAAATTGGAGAACCAGGCATTTTTTATGGGTCTCAATATTTTGACAAAGTTCAGGGGCAGATCCAGGTTTTTTTCTAGGGTTGGATGCACCATCCAGGATATCAGCTCATCTAGGGGGAGGGGGGGGGTGGGTGCACTCCCCTGCACCCCTCCCCTAGATCCACACTGGGAAAATGATATCCAATTACCATTGGATGTAGGAAGCAATCCATTTGCGTGATTCTTTACTAGTGCAAAACTATCTAAAGCTTTTGTCAAGAAAGTATTTTTTCCTGCAGTCATAGGAGACAAAACAGTAGGTCATACACTTCATAAATGTCAAAACTCTAAACACAGTTATTCAGTAAATTGTATCATTACTCTATAATCCCATATAAGCAACTATCATATTATTTTCAAATTCTCTTTCCTGTCCAAATTAAAAATTCATTTGGATTGTTTCCATTTACATTCTTTCGAGGGAAAACTATGAGTTATGGAATCAGTCTAGTATTAAAGTGTATATAAAGGGAAAAAAATTATTTTCAAAATCACTTACATGTGAACAGTGTAGTAACATGGTTGCAGTATTTTTGTATGTGAACCTCTCTTTTCAGAGATATAAACATTTGAAATATCAATATGCAAATGAGATGGCATAAATTCAAGAATGGGTTACATTTTGCCCCTGGGGGGAAGGGGTACTCCCCTATATTTGCTATATGGGTATGTGCCGGCAAACAGGGTATGGTTTTTAGTGATTTTACTCTGGAACAGGGTATATAAAATCGTGCTCGCTCTGGGACAGGGCATATGAAGTCAGGCTCTCTCCTCTCTGGAACAGGGTATCTATTTTCGAAATACAGAAACTAGGTATGGTTTTTTCAGCGATCTTGCTCCTACACTATTTACATATAGGCATGACAGTGATTTTGAAAGAAAAAAAAAATCCTTGATATACACTTTAAGTTTGGGATGATATAACTAATCTGCAATAGGACTACGTGTCTGTCCAATTTGGAAATAATTGAATTCAAAACATTCCTCTGACTGCCAAATTGGACTCAGCCTATCGGCTAATTCAAATTTTGTCAGTCCTTGGAATTTTTTTCATCCAATTATTTCCAGTTGGACAGCATGTTGTCCTGTTACCTATACAAATTTTGTACCGATGACAATGCCTTATCCAAAATAAAAGCAGTTGAATATAAGCTTAGATCAATCTATAAGCAAATTGTTCTTTCTACCACCCTTCCTATGATATCTAATTAACGACTCTTCTATGTTTTCTTCAAAGGTCAGGTATCACAACACCAGCAAAATGTCAGAGATTATTGACTGCATGGTTTTTATTGTCCAGAAGACCTGCTGGAGCTTATGGAAATTTACTGAATTTGTAGGCAAAAGAATTTTGGATCTTTTGGGTCTTGTGTTCAATATCCTGGCATGCTTGACCGTTATCAGGTTACCATGTATGATACAGCAGTTCTTACATATGGAAGATATTTCTCAGTGGAGATACGTTGGGTTTGTGCAGCTCATAATCTTTATCATGGACATTCCAGTAATTATAATGGGTCTTATCTCACTTGTATTAACAATGGGATTTGTACTTATCCCATTCCTAAGAAAAGTAAAAAAGAAGGGTGTCAAGTGTGACTATACTCATCAAGACGATGATATATTCTTTGGAGGGTTCATGTTGAGAAAGATTGTAGTTGGTTATTTTGTCCGAGTGATGTGTGACATCTTTTGCATTCCACTGGGGCTGATCTGCCTTTGTTCTTGGCGTGGTCCCACTCTGATTCGCAAGATCAAGAAAAAGAAGAACTGGGAAGACCTTGGATGGAGAAAAGTATGCATTGTACAGTTTTTTCATCTTGTTGTTGATATTCCTTGTTTGGTCTGTGGAATTCTACTCATGGTAACATGGAGAGGACCATATCTAATCTATGTATTATACAAAAGAAAGGAAGATAACGACTTCAGTTGGAATGCAGACAGGTTTGAGGTCTTCCTTCAACTCTTCCTTCTCTTTACTGACCTTATCTTCTTGTCCATATTTTTGGTCACCATGATAACGTGGAGGGGTCCACTGTTGATATATGAACTAGTTGAATATAGAAATGAACCTCACAGCGTTGATGAGGACGAAGATGAATGCATACGTGTGAATTCTGATTGGGTCATAAAATACATGATTGCAAAGCATGCCACTTTGATATTTGTGGATATTCCCTGCATAATATGTGCACTTATAGTGATGGTAACCCTGTGGCGTTTTCCAAGCTTTGTGAGAAATTGCACCAAGGATGAGTGGGAGCTACGAAAAAACTGCCTTACACAGTTTGTGTTACTGTTGATCGACTTTGTCTTTCTGTTGCTGAATATTTTATGCCTTATCTTGTCAGTTGTTGTCTTAGCAACATTATGGAGAGCATATCCTCTTATTAAAGACCTGAAAAAGTACTTCAAACAGAGATCTGAAATTCCTCAAACTCCTGTCAACGAAAGCGAACAACAGAAGAAAGAGAGGAAGAATCTCAGAAATAAAAATTCATGGAAGATTCGTAAAGCTGCTTTCAAGCATTTTGGATTTTTGTTTATAGATATACCAGCCATTGCAGCTTGTGTTCTCATTTTGGTGACCCTAGTACGTTTCCCAAAGTTACTTTCCAAACTCTTACAAGCTGGGGATTTCTACATGGAGTTTGCTCTTATATCATTCGGTCAGCTGGTCAAGCTAATAGTGGACGTGGTCTTCATTTTGCTGTTCATAGTTCTCATGATCATGAGGCCCATACAATCTTGGGTTCATCTTCTAGAAGACGAAGAGCACCGTAAGATGCGTTTGTTACGCTTCTACATGCAGTGGGTTCCAGATATCATTGACAAGCGCCACACTATACGTCGCAAAATGGAAGAAGTCTTTTCCCAAAGCCTCAAAAACAAGTCTCCTCCATTCAACATCCATGTGGAACTTTCTATCATAAATGCGGAGTTCCTCAAGGATCTGGACTGGGTCCGTTCAAAAATAAAAAAGTACGAGCTTGATGACCAGTATGATTACCTTCTTCATATGATTCAGTTTTACGAGGGAAAAAGAGCTTACAAGCTGCATCGTCTCTATCTCTGTGAGCTGAACTACTTACACTGTGCAAACTCGGCAGTTCACAATGAAAACCTCTTTAAATACAGAAACGAAATGATTGCTTTTGAGCACAAGGTCGATTCAGCTATTCGTGAACTGAAAGACTTTAAAGTCCAGAAAGTGCCTCTGTGGACTAATGAAAGTGGGCTGAGGACACGCACGCGTCAGGAAACACAACAAGTTCTCATCAAGTGCTTGCCAAGCGGCCGGTTTCTCCTTACGATCCTCATAATCCTGAATTTACTCTTGATCTACCGTGGACCTGCTTTAATTCGTAACCTGTGTCGCCGATGGTACGACAGAAAAAAAATCGTGTTCAAAAATTTGCGCGAGTACTTGAAGGATTTTGTTACCGTGGTCATCATTCTATTGGTGCTTCTGACCGTTTACCGTGCGCCTTTCCTGCTTGTGGAAGTAGCCAATGATGTTATCTCGAAACGAAGCTGGAACGCAGTGCGAGAGACAGTCCGTCGCTACCCACCTAAGTTTGCCCAAGATCTTGTGGACTTGATGGTGACACTGCTCAGTTGGAAGTCAATACGTTTTGTCTTTACTGCGACGTTATTCGGGATCCTAATGCCTGCTGATTTATTTTTGAGGGTCATGAAGTTTGCATTCAAGAACACTTTCTTCGCTATCCTAAGCACCGTGATCCTGTATTTTGTGTTTTTTGGCTTTCCGTTTGTTTTGACCTTCAAAATGGCCCCATCTTTCCTGGAACTCTCCAATGGTTTAGCAATCACTGTATCAATTGGAGTTTTTGGAATCCTCCTTCTTTTAATCCTCATCATTGCTTCTATTTTGACCTTCAAACACCGTGAGAGTTCCTTTTCCATACGACCAAAAGCATACGATTACGTCCGCTTCAACTGGACCAATGCACATGCTTTAATCTTTGAGTTCGTAGAGTTTCTCCAGCTGCTGGCACTTGTCTTCGTTGTGTCTGAAATTCCTATGTACGGCGCCGCGACACTTAACAAAGCTTCCCAATATCTCTTACTCAGTTTTGCTACGTTTGAAGTCAAATTCTGGCTGACGATTATCCTGTTTATTTTATGGTTTTTCTGCTGTGGACTTCCTGTCATACTCGAACAAGTCCTGGAAACTTTTGACGAGGGAACGTTTGCTAAACAGGTTTCGTGGACACTGTCAGTGTCGTTATTTACAAACACTCTTTTTGTGACGTTCTTTGAGAGTTTTCTCTCGTTCGTCGCCTGCAAATACGACATCGGATGCACACCTGTCGACCAGAATTTTACTGGGAATGCCACAAATCTTACCAGCTGTCCAAGTGCAGTCCTTTACGATGATCAAAGTATACAATGTTGGAATGCCTCTCACCAAGGAGTTGCTGTATTTGGACTTCTTGCTCTTGTGTGGTACACTACTACGGCTGTCATCTTTGGCACTCGCTACGGGGACTCTGACCACCCTAGTCTTGACTTGAAGTTTTCTCCAGTTTATAACGTCCTTATCAATTTTGCCAAAGCGCTAATGGTCGGATTGGCAGTCCTTGCTGTTGCTAACCCCTATTTCGTGTTTGGAAGCCTAATATTTGTTAACATGGTTGCCTTGATCTTCACCCTGCAATTCAGGAAATTCATTGGGTTTAATTTATCGAACTCTTTTGTTCTGATTTTGTGGCGAATCGTCTCATTCGTCTCTGCTGCCATCGCGGCTGTGTCAGCAATTATTGCAAAGGTGATGAACGACCCCACCTCTAAAGCACCACTGTTCGTTTTCCTTGCTGGAGTTGGCGTCGTTCTCGTTCTCGCTGTTATTATATCTATAACCAGGATTGTGAGGCGAGCCCTGACTCCAATGGAACACAAAAGAAAAGAGTTCCGAACTTGTTTAAGGCAGCTTGAAGATAAACTCGTCCGTGATAACTACATGGTCAATTCATGGCACAAGAACAGAAAGAGATGGAGACGTTTGGTTCGCCATGTTTACGAAGCGCAGAAAAATGATGATAAAAACATTTCCGATAGAACTGTGGAACTTCCAGCCGAAATGTCACCTCCACCGATAGCAGACATTCAAAGTCGTTCTCGACACTCACTTGTTCCTGAGTTGGGAATGACATTTTCAACTGATGTGACACAAAACCTTCCTCCCCCTCCCACGTATCAGGAACTTTTTCCAAATATCATGGGATCGCACGACGGAATGCCGCCTCCGCCGCCATATTATGCACAACATGGCCAAAGTGAATTGGTTCCCATAAATAGTCCTCCATCCGGAAAAAGTACTCCAGAAAACACAGCAGTCAATGAAGAAGCCCCTGGTCAAAATCCTGCTGAAGATAAACCTGGAGAGACGATTTCATCCGATTTTAGAGTTAGCGTGAGTGACGATGCTGGTTTGAAGAACTCTCTCGTAGAAGATGAGGGTGAAATTACTTCGTTTAGCGATACAAAAGAAGTAAAACTTGACATAGACAAGGGTACCGAAGAGGATGAAGAGCCCCACGAGGTCCAGGTTGAACTCTCTTTACCTGAGACCGGTGAGGGAGCTAGAGTTGAATCAGATGAAGCTAAAGAGTCGCCGGCCTTTACCGAAGATTCTGATTTTGATCAAGATGAAAATAAAAACACTGATGATACAAAGGTGGAAAGATCCATTCAGCAGGCAGCTGCACCTTTACCTGCAAACCAATATTCTGAATTACAGGTAAGCCAAGGTTCCTATATATATATATGTGTAATGTTATTTGTACTGGAGCCACTAGACCAGAATATTGTTTGTGCGCTTTGAAAACACTCCCTCGTAAAAAAAGACCATATGGTCTTTTGCTCGCAGTTTCATTAAAAGAAAGGTCTATGAAGTAGAAAAGTAAATCAAGTCTAAAAACCTCTCTTAAATTCGAAACCATAATCACATTTCCTGTTCCTGGTTGCTTTCCTTTTAGTGGCATAGTCCACCCTTGAACCGAACAGTTTTCTTCTAAGTTCACACTGTTTTTGTCTTTCATAGGATGTCACAGAAACCCAAATCGACAGCATATTATTCCTGCAATCGCAATTCCGCACAGATGGGGAAAGACGAAAGGAGTCTGATCCAGTCCTTTCTTTGGAATGCAACGGTAAAAATCTGTTACTTGTTCTTGAGGAACACATCCACTATTCCGCCTTCTCTTTTTCCTTCATTACTCAAATCCCAATGTGGAGGCACTCCGTTGAAAACGCGGATTGGACACAGTTGGTGGAATGTCTACGCATTCTAGAAAGCAATCTAAGTTTCACTTTTAACTCCCCAACTCGTGTCGATGTTGCATGTGCGGACCAGCACCTCCCTTTGTTGCGGCTCCCCCCTGATCCCGACCAGGTGCCACTTCCGGTTTTTGTTCCAGAGCCACGTGACCCAGAAGAGATCCGTGCCTTGGCAGATGCTGAAAGATCCCGTTGTCTCCAAGACGTTGCAACCCTTGAACCACCAGGAGACAAATGGGCAGTTATTCTTGATAAAATTCTTCCCACCAAACCCGTTCTTAAAAAGTGGTTTTGGGACAGCGAAAGTCATGAATTTGCTTTGTATTTTCACCGTGGAATCCGTGGGACCATCACCGATGTGGGCCCAAGAGGCCTTAAACTGGCAAAAGGAGCATCAATCTCCATTTCTAAGGTCATTAAAGGACACTTCCCAATTTCTAGACGAATAACCTTCCAGAAAGGTTTCCAGCCCAAGGGTGGTAAGGGTCCAGTTTCAGTCACTGTAAGTGAGCTCGGAATCCTTGAAATGCCAGAAAAGACGTACATTACTGCACAGGACAAACGTTTAGCTCTTGATAAGGCATTGGATTGCCTTCATGAGATTGCATGGAAGTGAATATTCAGAGGGTATACATCCTTTAAGACATTGGACTGCTGCTGGTTCTGGTCAGTGATAGGTTATTGCCACCAGAAACATTTGTTCACCTTCTAAAATACAAGTTTAAGGACGACGTTGAGGTCTAACAAACAAAGCAGGATTTTCATTAAGTTTTAAAACAATAGGAAAAGATCATCAGATACCGGAGCTTCCTGAGAAGTCGCGAGCTTGTCTGGGACCAATGGATCTTTCTCAAAATTATCTTGAAGGCGAGGCTAACATGGAATACAAAAGGAATGTCGCAAATACCATCGAGAAAAAGAGTGATTTCTTTTGTATTTCCATGTTTGCTGTTATTTTAATTGATGGTTTTCGCGGTGGGCATGTTGGAGGAACTTAACAAAAGAATTGTCAATGAATTCTTTTGTTATATCCTCCAACATGGCCGCCCAATAGAGCTTTATGTAACCAGGTCCAGTACTGCAGTCTACGTACGAACTAGCGACTACGAATACAATTCGCGTTAGTCTTCAAAAAGTCCCTTAATATTACCAATGTCGTTACCTATCTATCTTTGAACGTTGGAAACTAGGGTGAAATGGCGATTCACCGCCACATAACTTTAATAGTCTTGTGCAGGATCGTATAGTGCAATGCTAGTGTACCGTTACAGGCCTTCAATTTGACCACATTGAGCTGCGTCAGAAGTCCATGATAACAGAGCTGAATTCTTCGCAATCCAGCATCGGTGCTGCAAGAACGGAAAAAATAACACCCACATACGGCTTCTAGTGATTATGGTGCTAGCATAGCCGTTTGCATGATGGCGTTGTTATGTTGCTACCACTACCAGAATGCCAGCCTTTTTCTAGTTGACTGAACAAAGCAAAGTGTGTAAGGCCTAGGGCAAAAGTCGAACTTTCCATGCACCGAACTCATTAAAAACAATGGATATCAGGTGATAATGAGGCGGCTTTCTTTGATGTAATTAAGTTCGGTGCATGGAAGGTTCGACGTTTGCCCTAGGCCTAAGAGATTCTGACAGTGGTAGTAAAGGACTGCATTTTCGTTCAGTCGTGAAGCATTCAGCTTTCTATTTCAAGTTTATAAGATTAAGTAAAAAAAGAGAGAGATCGGATTCTTAGTGTTTAGTGTTGTACGTTGTCACACAATTCGACGTCACCTAGGTCATTTGTTTCTGTTTTATCTACTATTTGTTTCAAAGATCTGACTGTGTGATACGTTATTTTAATTGACGAATGTTAATGTTGGAGTCACGTGATTATGAAAATTTATAGTTAGATGGAAATTTATAGTTAAATGGAAAATTAGAAAACAGCCGCAGTTTATTACGTAAAAAAATGTCAGTATACTATGCATGCATGACAGATAAAACAAGAAGTCCTGCACAGATCTTAGCCATGACTTTCTCGTAGCATAATTAATCAGTGAGTTTGCACAATACTGTTGTTCACTCACGTATTTTGATTGGATACGAGTTTGTGCAATGCAATATATATATACCAAAGGTAGACCACGTATTTTTATTGGATATTATAAAATAACTGTTATGAATGTCGCGTTCTGATTGGTTTGGAGCGCGTGCTTTATAAGAGCACATTGCACGCGCGCGCACTTTCCATTGCGTCATTCCTATCTATTATTGTAATTTGTATTTTATAAAAGAAATAAAAAACTTGCTTGCTGTGCTGTGTGCAGTCATAAAGCACTTGGGGGTAGGCAGAACACTCGAGAAGTGTCGAGAAGCACTCCGCTACGCGTCGTGCTTCTCCTAACACTTCTCGTGTTCTGCCAACCCCCGCGTGCTTTATGACAGCACACAGCACGCGCGCGCGTTTTCTATTTCTTCAATCAGTGATTTCATGAAACACTATTGGCTGAGCACATAAACTCAAAGTCGTGCTGTTCAGTGGTTATATTCTTATATTAAATTCGCATAGCTTAATTCCAGCATATAATATTTCGTATGTGTATATATAGTATTCAAGACTGAGGTAGGATAATGTGTGTGTAAATGCCCGTCATGAAGTTTGCTATAACCAAAAGTATCTTTTATTTGGCCGAGCTCGAAACAGTTAAAAACAAATAAAGTAAATTTACGCTAATGTTTTTCGGTTTGTGATATCGAAAGAAATTTTGATCCCCCCCCTCCCCCAAAATCGCTCGATTAAAAATTTTAGCAACCGTCGGAGCATCACCAACGATTATCGACACCTCTGTTACATTTTAGTATGTTCCTAATATGATCGGAACATTTTGGTCAATAATATTTCAGGACGTGGGAGGGTTCGTCCGAGAGAGGACTAGGACTGAAAATTAAACTAGAAGGGCCCGATGAAAAATATCCCCTGATATGGTCAGATAGACGCTTTTCAGAATGTTTACTGACGTAAGCAAATTAAAGTTGATGGAAATTTTCCTCTCATATCCATGATGATTTCCGTCAACATTATAAAACAAAAATAGATAATGAGTAATACAGGGCCTTTTTGCTATGCTGCAGGAAACGGTTGCCAAAACAAGTATGTTTGTGCCTTAAGAAATTCAAAAAAAAAAAAAAAAAAAAAAAAAAAAAAAAAAATATTTTGAAAAAAAAAAAAAAAAAAAAAAAAAAAAAAAAAAAAAAAAGGCAAACAATTTATATTATATTCATATTTTCCATGTACTATTAAATACGGAACAAAAATAGATAATGACGTTTGGAATTTCATTCCGAATTTCATTTTATTAAGCATTTTCCATGGACTATCACTTACACAACAATAGATGATAACGTCATGCGTAGTGATGCAGCGCCTTTTTGTTATGCGTGGAAGCGGTTGCAAAATCAAGTATAGTTTTTGTAGCACTGTTTTATCGTCATGCAAATTTTCTCCGATATGTTAAACACGTAATACACTATACGTCTAGCTTTGTCACTCCCGTCCGACTACTTGCTCTCGAAAATGGAACGATAGGAATGAAAGGGAACACGCTTAATCGAATAGAAATAAACTCTCTTCCTTTAGTTTTTAATGTTTTCGCTTTTTTGATTATGTTTTTTTGTCTATTTTTTTATAATATAAACATAATGAAAATGTTACATGCTGACATGCAGCTTGGCTCCCCTTGGTTGGTTTAAAAGAACTAGAGTTTCTTGGCGAAGAATTAATTTATGCAATATTGAGACTTCAATCGCTACAGACTGACAGCTGTATCAATCAAACTTTGTCCCCTTCGAACCTCTCGGCCTTACCGAGGCTGTCAGTTTCTGGTTGAAAAAACGCATCGAACTGTGAAATGAGCTTTATTGTCTAATTCAACTTCAACATTACTTAAGAAATTTAATCCAATAAGCCTCCTTTTATTCATAACTTCATCCTTTCCTTAGCTTTAATGTTTTCTTTTCGGTAAAGTATTACGTCATGATAACAAACACAGAGGCTAGCACGTGGCGTTATTTCTCTAAAGCGTCAAAGAGAGGCTTGAAGGCCTCGTTTCAGTGTGTCGCCATATTTTGTGCAAGCATCACATGTCTCAGTGTTGGTTCCAAAGGGACATGGCCGTTAAATGTTGGCCTGATGAGTGTCGATAGAACAATTCGCGGCGTGTTCGATCGAACTTGCCAAAGGCTTCTCCAGATGGTAATGGCAACGGATTTGCCATCCAACGGCAGCATGGAGCAAAATCAACTCAAATCCGACACAATGTCGGGGAACATGAAAGGAGCGTCTAACCTGAGCACGCGAAGCGAAAGGCAGACAACTCGAAGTTTGCGTTCGAAATCTTCCCGTCATAGCACGAATTATATTCCAAAGAACGGTAATCAAGAACGAAACAACCACGAGAAGAATAACGATCTTTCGATACGGCAGTCGGAGGTGATGGAAAGCCAGGATAATTCAAATCATAAGTCTGACACGACGAACTCCCAAGTGACTCATCTGAGGCAACTACTATTATTACATCTTGAACTCATTCAGCAACAGCAAGAAAAGCTACAGAAAAAAGACAGAGAGCTCAACCAGCTCAAGATAGATAAAGAACAGGTACGAAAACCAGGAAATTCGCTAAAGTTTATTACTTTGTGTTGTATAAGTTTAATCGGTTGACCCCGTTGTTGTCTGTACTCGGCCAAAGGAAAATATTACGCATAACTAATTTTGTCATTTTTGTTTTGGACGGGTCAGCGGTCATTCACACGTTTCAAACATGGCGCCGTGTAACGTGATTCACATGGAATACCTAATGAACAACAACATTAATTCACTTCCGGTTTTGTCATTAATATTGCTCAAGAGTTCTGTAGTTATCTTATAGTTAACTTTATGGATCTTCTTCGCTTTTATAGTTTTTGATCAACTATTTTTGTCTGATTTTTGGATAGATATAGATTGCATTTTCTTTTTAAAATAGTAATTATTTTTTTCTTTTTTTATCTTTTAATTTTTTGTTGTTTTTTTTTTGGTTTTAGTTACTTATATTGGATTCCATTCTTAAGAAATGAAAAAAAAAWAAAAATTTACAAACATTTTATTAACCATCATCCATGTATTATCAGTTATTGGCCAATACGGTTAAAGAGGTTCGTGTGGGGCCATGTTTTTTCACACAAGAATAAAAACAGTTGTTTGTGCCAGGGTAAACTCGTCATGAAGTGCTAAATGTGAAGCTCTATGTGGGTAATCAATTGATCCAGACAAGGTGGCTCTGCCTAAGAAAGTTCCATTATCAGTTATCCACATCTATCCTAGGTTGGCCACCAATCTTGACAGGAATTGTGGGTCATTTTCAAATACTTATGCCATAGAAAAACTGCTCGCTTATTTTCTTCAAAACAGATTTTTTTCTCTTATACTTTTGATATTTGTATCTTTTTTCTCTTAATATTTGTATTAATTGAAAAAGTTTATGTTATTCTGATTATATATCTGCTAAAATTCTTGAGCATTTTCAATTGGTTGACCTTGGCTTTTTTTTTTGAAGGTCAACTCGGCTTATTCTAGGTATCCATGAATTGGTAATTTTTCCAATTAAATTGTCCTTGCTATTTAAACTGTTCACAGCTGGAATCCCGCATCCAGCGGATGGAAAGAAGGATGGCTGTAAAGAAAAGACGTGGTGACCTTCCCGGCAATGAACTGGAATCATTACAGGAATCTGCAAAACCCAATGCTCCAAAAAGGTAGACACTTTGCTGTAAGACAAGAGCATAGTGCCTGTTCTTGTTTAAAGCCAGAAGATGTTTGCTATTTTATACGTGAAATCCAGACATTACAGAGAATATTATTTTTGAGCTCTTACATCACTTCCTCTACGTTTAGGGAAGAAATTATGTACATGTTTGGTGAAAAACATGTGGTAACTACTTTTTTGCTCACTGAAAACTTAAAAAGAATGGATTATAATCAGTCCCTGTCATGATCCATTCAAAAAACCTATGGGTCGTATATTTAAAACAAAAATAATTCTACATATGAGGCAAAAAAGATTATATCAAAGAGTTGTTTAGTGTTCATGAAGAGAAGTTTGGAAAAGGCCCTTCATATATATTCTAATCACATACATGTTTTCTTCTATTGCATAGTTATTCAGACATGTTAGAAAGTTGTTTTTATTAAAATAATACAGTCATATGGAGTATTTTGGTACACACCTGGTACACTTACTTGCAAAATTATTGTCAAGTAAAAAAACATCCCAGGGGGGGGGGGTACTCCCCTATATTTGCTATATGGATACGTGCCATCAAACAGGGTATGGTTTTCAGTGATTCTACTCTGGAACAGGGTATATAAAATTGCACTCGCTCTGGGACAGGGTATATGAAATATGATATCACTCTCTCCTCTCTGGAACAGGGTATCTATTTTCACACTACCGCAAAAGGGTATGGTTTTCAGTGATCTTGCTCTGCAACAGGGTATGAGTTTCAGGGATTTTGCTCTGTAACAGGGTTCAGAGGGCTTAGCGGCACATCCCTACCCTAAACGGGCAAGAGTACCCCCGGGAAAAACATAGAACATAAAAGCTGAGACCAAAATGGTACATGGGAAGTATGTTATTAGATGTATCTGGTGATACGACTCATGAAATGGTATATGGGAAGTACGTTATTAGATGTATCTAGTGATAAGACTCGTGAAATAGTACATGGGAAGCACCTTATTAGATTATCTAGTGATATGACTCGTGAAATGGTACGTGGGAAGTACGTTATTAGATGTATCTAGTGATACGACCCCATGAAATGGTGTATGGGAAGTACGTTATTAGATGTATCTAGTGATAAGACTCGTGGAATGTTCATAAATTATTGCACTTACAGAAAGCATGGAGGCTTTTAACATGTTTCATATTGACTTTGTATCTCAAATGAATAACGTTAGAGTATAATTATGTCTTTTCCCAGAATACCTTTTGGTCTCAGCTTCTATGTTCTATGTTATGATCCCGACAATGAATTTGCAATTGAGTATGTACATTGTTATCATCTGTTTATAAATTCAAGTTGTAAAAAGAGGAATGTAAATTTGAAAGCAAATTTGCTCTCCATACAAAGGAAAATAAAATAATGAGAATATCAAAAGACTGTATTTTATTAATTTTAAAGATTTTTTTGCTAGGAAAAACTAAGAATCAAATTTWAAAAAATCTATATCTAAATAGTGTAAAATTAAAGCAAAGTTCAAGCAAATAAATGGTTGCAAAGAAATTTGTAGGAAATAGAAAATTGCCTTTGGTTTTTCTCTTCCACTGCAATATATGAAAATACATAATTATACTCATTTAAAGCCAATTTTTTTTCTGCAGTCGACGGCTTTCGTCTGAACAGATGATAAGGAGTAAACGAGTTCCTGCAACATCGTCAGTTGTTATCTCTTCTCAATTGTGCGACAATGATAGCTTTCAAACAAACATGCGAACAGAATTACTTTACCTTCATCATAAATCTACTGAATCTGGGAAGCTAGAGACTCCGAATGACAAGTTAAAAGAAATCAAATTGGAGGAGAAGAAAGATAACAAAGAGGGCAATGATTTGTCACATATATTAGGTAAATGAATCTTTATTTATTTAGATAAAAGAGGGACAGGTAAAAAGAGTAATGAAGCTAGTTTTATGCTTTACAGCCATTCATGATAACATTTCTATCTTTTAATGAAATCATTTAGTAGTAGCACAAAATTCATACTGAGTGAATCAAGCCGAAGGGTGCACATATATGCATACACAGTGTAGGGGTACTGCACTTGCGTCGCTCTGCAGTGCTAGCTCTACTCTTGCTTGATGGGTTCAATTTCTTCTGGACTTGACATGTGATCATAGTTTGTCGGGTCTCTACCTTGATTTGTGGGTTTTCTCTGGATTTTCGTTCTGGTACTCTTCCCTCTGCAAAACCCAACTCATACACTGAAATGCAATTTAGTCACAGTTAGCCATGCCCTGACTTAGATCAGCCTAGAGGCTGTTTCAGGGTTTGATCTGTGAGTTAACCATGCCCTGACTTTGATCAGTCCAAAGGTTGTTTCAGGGTTCGATCTGTGAGTTAGCCATGCCCTGACTTAGATCAGCCTAGAGGTTATTTCAGGGTTTGATCTGTGAGTTAGCCATACCCTGACTTAGATCAGCCTAGAGGTTTCATGAGTTAGCAGTGCCACAACTTTATAGCCCAAAGTTTTTTCAGCTTTTTCAGTCTTTAATAAAACTGATATTTTATTTAGTTTGATGCATAGCATCAGAACTTTGGAAACTTTAAACTTTGATGCAAATGATCAAAAGGATTTCTGATTTGCTGCTTCTTTTGGACCAATAAATTAATCATAAGTTTTACCATGATCTTTCTTTGAAGTTCCAAGCTGGAAGTTAAACGAAGTTGCACAGCCGACACACAAAGGTGGCAGATCAAGCTCATCTTCACGGTCATCAACATCGAACAACTCGGAATCACTAGAGGTAATTTTGATTCAAATTTTTAGTTCCCTAAAAAAAGCACTTAGACTGGGATATAAGTTTTCTATTGGTTTTGATATTGTTTTCTGGAGCTCAGGGTTATATATGCATAGCAGAGGCGGATCCAGGATTTTGTTCAGGCAGGGGTGCCGTGCACAAAGTTACAGTACGTAACCCAGGGAGGAGTGGTGCACCCCTTAAAATCAAAGGGAAAAAACAGTATTGGTTATCTTTGAAGTAGGGGCACAAAGTGGAACCAGGGAGGGGTGCGCAACCCCTGCACCCCTACCCTGGATCCGCCCCTGCATAGGTCAGTAAATAGTTCATTATTGGAGATGACATGATTGGACATTAAAGGATTTAGTTTTGATAGATGGAAGCTATGGAGGCATCAGTGAGTGACCATAGTTACGTTGTCAGGTGCACATGCAAAAGCTTAAATAGAATCATTTGTGATGTCAGTTGATTAGTTGTATCTGTATTAATTCCTTTTATTTTCTTCAAACTCATCACAGAATGTAGATGATGATGTTTTCATGAAAAGACACTTGAAACAAGAAGTAGAAGAAAGGAGAAGAAAAAGGTAAATGTATTTATATGTTTGAATAATCCTTGACCTTTCTAGCTGCAGGGGTAAAAGTAATAACCACTTAATGGCTGGACATGATGACTGGCCTCATTAGACTGCAGTTCAGAAGTCAAAAGGAATCAATAATTATTATTATTATCAGGACAATGAATTCATTTTTCGTTTTGTTTCGATCTCAGGTGGGATGTTCAAAGATTCCGTGCTCAGCAGCTCCACAAAAGTTTAGAGGAAAAGAATAGGTTACGGGAAGAGTCAAGGTTAAAGGGAAGAAAATTCAAAGGCAAAGATTCAAACTCTGACTCAGATAACACTTTCCAGTCTTTTCTTCCTTCAAATGACGAAAGTAAGTACAGTAGGTAAAGAATTAACTAAGATACTTTTGGATACAAAAAAATTTGGACACTCTGCCTTTCATACATCAGTTCACTTGTCAAACACAAAGCATTCGACCGAGGTGGCAAGGTTGTTTCAAAGGATTACTCAAATTTAAACCTTGCAACCTCCATTGACTGCTTTGAGATTGACCAGTTAACCGATGTATGGAAGATGGTCAAAATGTGTTTCTACAAACTAAAGATAGGCAAGTACAAAGAACTTATTTAAACAATGTAGCTAAATATGTTTTCTCTTTTCAGATCAAGTGTCATTCTCTTGAGCATTAATTCTTTGATTATCAATAAAAATAAAGCTTGCAAGGCTTTTAGTTTACATAATTATGTCATTCTCTTGAGCATAAATTCTTTGTTTAAAAACCAGCAGTTAACGAATAGGTACATAGTAAAGTGTATATTTGATGAAATAAAATAAATATGATCATTGTCAAGAGGAAATGATACATATTCTGAAATGGAGAAACATTATCAGAGTTAAAAATAAGAGCTGGTCAGTCGCTGGTCATGACGACTGGCCAAATTAATTTAAGCTTTGTCATAACTTGTTTTTGGCTCAAAGTTATGCTGGTCAAGATGACTGGCAAGGCAAAGATTTCAATTCTGGCCGGGCATATGGTCTGGTAATGGAACGTTATTTTAGCCATGATTAGACTCAAGTGATAAGGACATTATTTTCAGTTTGTTACCATATCCAAGATATGTGGTGGCTTATTTTCTCCTTTTGACCCATCCATGTAATTACTGCCATGTCTTCTTCCAGTTACAGCCATTGAAGTGTCAGAGACAGTTCCAGTTTCAGTCTTTGGATGTCCAGTTCCTTTATTTCAAATGAAGTAAGTTTGTACACATTAAGAATTCAAAATGAAATGTACTTATTGGAACAAGACTGCAAATAATAGTCCCTGATTTTATGTTATTACTCCCTAACCATAACACTTTAACAAGAATCTTTTAATTTCAATACCCCCTAATCAACCCTTTTTTGTCTTGTAGAGAATTCGAAGTGCCTTGGTTTAGTTTGGATCGAAGAGAGTTGCAAGAACGAGCCTCAAGAGGACGAGGCAGAAGTAGGGGTGGTCGTGGCAGAGGAAGAGGTCGGGGAAGGGGACGAGGAAGGGGCAGGGGTAGAACTCTTTGAAATTCAAATTTTATAGTTTTTGGTTTTTGTTTAGTTTTTTATGTTTTGAACCTGAATAGATCAACTAATTATGAATAAGTGAAGCATGAAAGATCGGTTCTTAAGTCGTTAGTTAGTCATTATTATTTCATGTACTAAATTATAAGGAAAGATACGTTTTTTATTGGAGGGAGGAGGGCTAGGGTTACAGAAGGGAGGGTCATCAGTAGGAATTTGAACTTTTGTGGAGGATCAAACCTTGTCATTTTGACAAAAAAAACTTGGGGAGGGTTGACCCCAGGGGCGGTACTCCGCCAGGATTTGGGTAGGGACGTTCCGCTGGGATTCTGAAAGGGGTACCCTAATTATGACAAAAAAAACTCAAATTTGTAGACCCTGTTTATGACAAAACATATTTATTGCACTGAGTTCCTGTTTCAATTATCATGTCATCTCACGTATCGTTTTTTCACGACCATAATAACCAGTTTTGGTCAATACGAAAGTAGAAACCCAGAATATGACAGGGAACTCAGGAAGAACTTGAAACTTGAGTGAAATTGCATACCTCGTTTATGACAAGAAGCTCGAAAAACCATACCCTATTCTGCGGATCATCCCCGTATAGTCCATATATGGGAGTATCCCCACCCCTGGGGGGTTGACTTAATAGGAGGRTTATGAATTTCAATGGCTGCAACGTACCATTTTTATACAGTCGACTTCCAATCCCTCTGCCCTTCCCAACTCAATTTCTCCTCCCCAAATGAAAAACAAACCTTCCCAAAGACAAGGTTTTGCACTAGTTTTATTTTTGATCAACAATGAGCACTTATTATGTCTATGGTTCTTTAAAGAAACCCATTGAAAGAAAAAGAAAAATTCGTTATCCAGGGAAGAAAATAGTAAAAATGAAATCAAAAAGAAAGATGAACACCCAGTAACCATGGTTATGAATTTTTATTRATTTAATTGTTTTTGAAAATTTTGGTATTTTAATCAGCAACTAGACAATACGTTTCTTATTCATTAAACCCTCTTTTTCATTATTAGTTCAATCAGTTAGACTCTTCTTAGAAAACATCTGTGCACTATTTTATTTTATAAGCTTTTCACTTCTTTGAGAAGTTTTGTTCCCTCATCTGAGAGACAGTGTATTATATTTTATGAAAGGTTAACACTTCATTTATGGCCCTGGATTGAACTTAGTAAAAAATAAAAGCCATGCATAAGTTTAAATCTTTCTCATTTAAATTCTGATTGTTTAATGGTTTTGATCCCAGACATATTGACATAAGCATATGTGAAAAGCTTGCCAAATGATCATAAAAAAACAAAGTAAGAAACTGTTAAAGCTGAGTTGTGTGACTCAGTAATGCAATAATTTCGATTGTTTTCTTCCTGTTATCAGGTTACAGGAATATGTTGTAAAAAGTTTATTTGTGTTGAGAAATTAATAAAATGTATATAAGTTTACGATTGTCTTGGTTTGAAGTGGGTATATATATTTTTGGGGGGGGTTCACATAACTGGTTAAAGCATTGGGATTCATTTCCTACAGTATACTAACACAACACCCCTCCCTTCAGGTTAGGGGTTGGGGGAAGGGCTCTAATAACCCTGCCCTGTAACGTATTAACTTAAGGAAACCAGAAATATTATGCAAGGAACAAATGGGCAAGATGAAGAGGATGGCCAGGTATCTCAAGATGAGTACATTGTTTTCACAGACTACTAGTGCTGGATAAACTGACAGGTCAAAGCTCTATAGACCCCTTGTAGCACAGGTTTCTGATTCTCATTTTTTGTTTTGTCCTCTGAATTGAGCTCCTTTGGAGTCACACCCAAAGGGTCTATTGACTGAGAGAGAAAGGCCTTATGTACAACAGAGTGCAAAGAGGTTTGGTGAGGTAATCTTTGAGGCAAAATATCTTTAAGCTTGGACATGAAGTTTTCCCATTTAATTTAGTTCAAACCATGTGTGACCACTCTTGAGAAAAAGATTCTTTGATTGACTTGTATTCATATTTATGTGTCTTCTCATGGGCAACCATTACTGCTACACTGTCCAGGAGGCAGCACCAATTGTAGACAAGTAAATTGGGCAATAGGTTACCATCAATCCAATAAACTATACTTAATGAGCTACCTACCATCCTTGAGAAAGATATTTTACATGATATTCATATCCATTGTATTATAAATGTATTGTAATTGTCTTTCATATTCTTCTTTATACGAAATTTTTCTCAATATGTAATCTCTTGGATGGAATAATATTTAAACGATAATGATGATGAAAAAGAAAAAGCAAGACAAAAAATGTTTACTCAAATTTAATGCTACTCTTGACATTAATTACATAGTATTAACATGACAGATTACTTGTTAAGAACACATACAATATCTAGTTGTCTAATATGAATACAGCAAAGTAAAAATAACTAGAACTAAACTTGGCCGTTAGATGTAGGGTATAAAATGGTTCCACATTTAAGTCCATCATACATATAAAATTATACAAGCATGTGGGAACCACAGGGACAGTCAGCTCTTAGGCAATGAGTATTAATTGGTCAGTGTTTGGCTGGGAGGGGTGGGTGATAATGAAGTCATGATCCTCCAGTTTGCTCTTGATATACTTCAATCACATCATCATCTTCCATCTCAAGCTAAAAAGGAGTAAATTAACTCTGCTTAGATAATGATGACTATGTTGACTGCAATATCCAACCTCTTTTTTACAATGACTTACAAAATTCACGCGCGCTGATTTTTACCATCATCAATAAGGAGACAGGCAGAAAAAGCTGTCGTCATAGAGCACGCGCTCTTTCTATTGGTTGTTTTGATCGCTAGGAAAGAGACGTTTTTATTTTTCTTGTTTATATTGTAAAAAACAAATTGACTTCTGTCAGATTTTTATGTATCTGTCCTCTTATTGACAATAAATTTAACTATCACATTGTCAAAGTAGTATGCAGATCCACTAGGCTACGCCTCGTGGATCCACACAACTTTGACAATGTGATGACGCAATTTATTGTCAATAAGAGGACAGACACATAAAAATCTGATGTCAATTTGTTAAATAGAACATAACGTATGTAGATTACAAAAGAAACTTCAAAGAATATTGCCTATTGCATTGATAAAACTGGGCAATATATATAGTACAGGGCTTACAATAATGGTGGATCAGCTGCAGGCCATGATCACAAGCTAAATTAGCTTTAGCTTAGTCATACCTAATTTCTGGCTAAGCGTCACTGGTTAAAATGACTGGTAATGCAAATATTTGACTGGACAAGTCCCAGTTCTGGCCAGATATTGTTTGGTGTCTGGTCGTGCGAAGATTTGAAATTTATCCTCAAGTGGTGAAATATTCTATCAACACAAGAAGATAAACTTCATATCTTCAAGCCTATATGTAATTTTCTTTTTATTATACAGACACATCCACTTGTTGATACATACGTTAAAGTGAGCGGGACAACATTGGAAGTGACGTCATTGATATCTTCACATGTCAGGATGTAGTTCCCTCATTTAGTTCAAATGAAAAATTGCGAGTTGCATGTTTCCCAAAACAATAATAATTATCATTAATAATAATCTTGTTACTTACTTGTTTGGGTGTTTGGTCATCATTTATCCTCTGTCCATCAAACAAAAATCTGACAGAAGTTAATGGTACTCCCTAAAACAATTTAAAGATAAATTTAAAATTAAATACCCTGGAGTAGACCTTATTTATTTGTTGTTATGCAAGGTTTTTGATTTTCTTTGTCATTCCCGAGAGTATCATTTCTTTGTTTTCTGGTTGTGCATGAGAAGACACATGAATATGGATACAACTAAAACAAATTATCTCATCAAGGGAATGACATGCGGTCTGTATTGGGAAAACATTGCACCACAGGTATATTGAATTAAGGATGGAGCTCAAGACAACCTAAACCAAATAAAAGCTACAGATGATTGACTCTAAACCTAAATCTTTAATGTATTTTATTTGTTAAGTAATAACTAAAAAGCATGACATACAATAAAGACAGCCATTTGTTGCATTTCATTGGTTACTTACTACACCCTCCTTCCATTAAGTTTAAAATGATTTTAGTCCCTTTTTTAGGAGTGCCAAATGGTCCCAAGAAATACATGTTTGTAACAGGGTCTTGCAAAATTTTCTTAACGATCTGCAAGTCTCTTAAAATACACATCTTGCGGTCCAGCAAAGTCTTGCTTGGACCGTGACCACATTCCTTCCTTTTGAGGGCTACAGTTTCCCCTTTTGTGGCCCTATACACCTGGGCCCAGTTGTACGAAGGGTGGATAGCACTATCAGAAGGATAAATCCTTATCCAGTGGATAAGTCAATGCTGATATCCAATATATTTATCCACTGGATAAGATTTATCCATCCAATAGCACTATCCAACCTTTATACGACTGGGCCCAGATGCTAGTTAAAAATCTTTTGTTAAATGGCACCAATGCTCCTCAGAGAGGCCGCAATGATGCAATGTGCAATCAAAGAGTAAGAAATAACCATTTATTATAGCTATTATGTTAAAATATTTGCCAAGAAAATAAAAGCAAATCCTCATAGTGTAGTATAATTATTATAGTATAACATCGATGTCTAAACATAGATGGCACAAAAGTAAAAAAGAAATTCTCAAATATAGAAAAACTTTTTAAACTTACTTGTCTGTCACAATAGGCCTGTTTGAGTTTTTTAAGCTGAGTGGATTTCTTAATTTTAAAATGGACTTCTGTATTATCCTGCCAAGTTAGAATGATAAAGAAAACGCAAAGAAAGAACGTTATTTACACAGGGAATGACAGATCAAAATGGCCGTCTATAAACACGTGCCTTCACAAACTCCCGCCAAACGTCAAGCCAAACACAAACCTCAAATCCTCAGTGATACTGGTCTCGAATGGCAAAATACGAAGCACCTCTGTATATTACAATTACGAATCTTAAACTTTATGAAAAAGAAAAGCTTTTTGTAAAGAATGAATGCTCTGCAAAACGGAATAAACGAGGATTTCGTGGCGGGAGCTTGGCTTGAATCGAAACATTATGAATCAAGATGGGATCAAAATATATTGAATTACGCCCAAGATAAGAACAAATATAACAAACATTATATATACAAGACAGAAAAGGTACCAGAAAATAAAAGATATATCAAGAAAATCAAACTATTGGGTCTCCTTTGTGTAGAATTGTTAAGTCATAAGTAGAACACTAACCTGCCCCATAACTTTTAAATTAATGTGTTCAGACTCCGGTTTAACTTCCTAGAAAAATAAAGACGCCAGTTTAAGCGCAAAGGTTCATATTACAATAAGGATGGAGCTTCAGTTGATAAAACGATATTCTAAGGGGAAAGATACCTTATTTTCTTCAGACATTTTGTCGTCTTCGAACACAACTTGAGAATAAAAAGCCGCACACTGTAATGACCGCTACGCATGATGGGCTATTAAACTTCCGGTCCCCAAAGAACTCTGGGAAATACTTTCTTTAATTTATTTTTATTAGAGTGCATTCAATCAAACTGTTGAATACTGTACGTCACCTAAATTAGATAAGTTAGTTACTATTTTAGGTGACGCCAACTAAATTTGAAACTACGAGTAAACAGCTGCTGAGATCAGGGGGAGAAGCAATGATACAAATGAATGTCTTTTCACTCATTCTCTGGTAAAACAACCCCCCGGATTAGCATGACCGTTATTTTGCGCGCTTTTACTATTTTAGGGTGACGTCAACTAAATAGTTCTCTAAGTTAGATAAATTTAAGACTAAAAGCACTCTATCCAGAAAAATTAAGCTATACACTACAGAGAAAATGTTTTGTGTGTTTTCATTAAATTAAAAAAATTTTTTTTTATTGCTTTTAATTTTAGAAAATAGAAGTTGAGTTTTGACCTTAAAGGTCTTAGCCCGCGATCAGGCAAGAAAGGTCAGCGGTAAATTGAAATGGCGGACGAGAAAGAACAAAATAAATGTCGAGAAGAAAATGCTACAAATTCCTCGAGATGTCCTCGTATTTTGACTGAAAATGAGAGAATTAAATTAACGAAAGATATCAATTTAATTTCTGAATTTAAAAGGAATAAGCTAGAAAAGGAGGCGCAGAAGAATTGGGACTTATTTTACAAAAGAAACTCGACAAATTTTTTTAAAGATCGACATTGGACGACTCGGGAGTTTAAAGAACTTTTATGCTCAGAGGTCAGTTAAATTGCTAAGATTGAACGAAATTTCCTCTTGTATGTAAGTAGCCATGATATTTGACATATTTTAGCGTTTGATACACGTATTAATTAACAGGGTTTGTTGTACTCTTTATGACCGGTTTATGAACAAAAAATATAGTACTACCATGCAGCAGAATCCTTTGCACACTTTCTTTTGTTTGAACGGTTAATTAGCACCAACAATTAATGCCTAACTATTCTCATAGGGGAATACAAATTTAAAAAAGAAGGAAAATCCGCAAAGCATTCTGGTAGTGGTAGTACAATGTTGCCATATATTTGGATATGCTACTATTTGTAAAAGGGATAGAAATATAATTAAGGGACAAACTAATCTGTGGCACTTATTAAATTTGTTGGGTTTCATATGCAGCATTAATTTGGGGTCGGCATTTATTCAAGGGCAGCTCTTATTTTTTTAAATGTGTTTACCATATGCATAATGTGTAACCTATGATTTAATACAAAGTGAATACAAACGTACCAATGTTTTTTTGTCGGATAAAAGTGGTACTTATTTGGGGGCGGTGCTCATTAATAATTTTGGTCTTAGGTGCTGTGTTTATTTGAGGGCGGAGCTTAATCGGGGGCAGCGATATCTCATATGGCAGCCATTGTTGGCTGGAACAATAGATTTTTGCCCGTCTAGCCTTGGTTTAAGTGCTTCTGGATGAGTTTGAACTGGCAGAAACAAGGGATTTATTTCTCATGAGAATAAACATGGATGCTGCATGATAAAATCTAGCTACATTATTCATAGAACAGCTGGTCTTTTCCACCCTTAACACTCCATGAAAACACCAGTGGATTCTCTTCTGTGAAAATTTATCTGGACCCATCTGTTAAGCTTATCTTATTTTCTTTCTTCAAAAGTCAGAACAGCAGGATAATAAGGTATTGCTTGAGGCTGGATGTGGAGTTGGAAACTTCTTTTATCCTCTCATTGAAGAGGGCCACAATTTTTATGTACATGCTTGTGATTTTTCACCAAGGGCAGTGCAGTTTGTTAAGGTGAGCTGTTATTTTAAAGCCAACTGCAAATTAAGGAAAGAACAAGGGAAGATTTAGGGGTGGGCCCACATGGCCACTGCTCCCCTTTTAAGTGATGTAATTTCTTTAGATGTAATGGTATTCACATACAGTCTGGAAGGTTTTCTCTCTTCTGGCCCACCCTTTCTTTTGGCCCACTCTTTCATTGATTCCTGGATCTGCCCATGAGGATGGRGGGAGGTAGAAATTTGTAATAAATTACTATTCAAATAAATATGGCTCTCAGAAAATTATCTATATAGTTGTCACTATAATTGAATTTTTAAATTACTAAATTCAAGTCAAGAGGTTTTCTCAATTTTTTTCAATGGTTTTCTAAGTTTAAAGGAGTTTTGTTAAATGGAGGACTTAGGCTTGTAATGAATATATAGCTATAACTTTGTGAATAATGTAAAGTCATGTTGATTGTTGATAAGTCATAACCCATAATCAGTAGTCTCACTAGAATTTTTTGTATGAAACCCAAGTAATACTGTTTCGTAGTTGGTAGTTGGAATTTCTGTTCCATTGATAGGGTGGAGTCGAATTGGAACCTATAAATCAGTGTTAGTGGGGTAAATTTGATATTTTTGGGGGTCCATATTAATGGTCTATTTTAATTTAATAAATGTTTGTGATATACAGGAACACTCATTGTTTGACTGCAGTAAAGTAAATGCTTTCCAATGTGACCTCACACAAGATCAACTGACAAATAACATCCCTGAATGCAGTGTGGACTTGGCTACCTTGATATTTGTTCTGTCAGCAGTTCATCCAGATAAGATGCTGTTAGTTTTACAAAATATCTGGAAGGTAAAGTATGATTACTCTAGGGCTCGGAGAGGAAGGAGCTCTTGGGGTCTATAGTCCCATGTTTTGCTAATGTATAGATTCTATAAATGTACTTTATTCATGAAGAGAAATATATATCAAGGGACATGAAGTGGTGATGCATGTGCCTCTTACCTCTGGGCTCTTGGGTTGAAAAGGGTTCAAAATAATGTGATTCCAGTATGTTAAGATCAGTGACATATGAGTAGAGCTTGTTGGTTGTTTCTCCTTCTCTGAGATCCAACATGTTACATTCCAGTTTGATCTGTGAGGTGACGATGCCTGACAAAATTATCCTCCCAAACGTTGTTTCAGGGATGTTTGATCTGTGATTTTATCATGCCCTGATATTATTAATGCTCTAAAAAGTACTTTAAAGTGTCTTATATAATAATAATCGTTTTTCCAGGTTCTCATGCCAGGTGGAATTCTTCTGTTCAGAGACTATGGGTTATATGATCATGCAATGCTTCGTTTTGCACCTGGCCACAAGTTATCAGATAATTTTTATGTAAGGCAGGATGGAACAAGGGCTTTCTACTTTACTACAGGTCTGTGGGAACTTTAACTTATTGTTTTTTGGTTCCAGAAATATAAATATCGATATCCTAATAGAAAGAGATTGATCTGTGTTTTATTAAACTCAATTCATTTTTTTTAGAATCCATAGAGAATCTGGTGCAGGAAGCTGGCTTCAACATTCTTGTGAACGAATACATTGAAAAAAGAACAGTCAACAAAAAAGAACAAATTGATGTTCCTAGAATTTTTGTTCAAGGAAAGTTTTCTAAACTTAGCTAATATTAAATGCAATTTTTTTTAGAAGATAAACACAAGATGTACAATATATAGTACTTATCCAAAATGGGGGATACGTAGGGAGGGAAAACAGGGGATGGGGAGTGGGAAAGTGACTTAGGAGGAGAGGTCATTAATACACAGGTTAGATACACATTAGTGTTTATATATAAGTGTCAGTCTTGGATCCTTTGTAGGACTCCATTTGTGATCAACACTAATGATGGCTAAGAAGGACACTAGATTTACATGTACATCTTATGATAATTTTTATTGGGGAAAGAAAAAGACAAAAGGAGTAAGTTGTTATATCATAATTTCCCAAAACTATGAATTAAGCCTCGTAACTTTAGCATGAGGACGTCTTGACACCCAGCATAAATAGACCTTTCCCAAATTCACTTGAGTGACTATGAAACAATGGTTCCAAGTGAAGGTTGCACATTTACTGTATTTCATCAAGTCCAACCTTGTCTTAGAACCTTTGTTTCATGGTCACTCAAACAAATTCAGGATCACTCTATTGTAAGGTTTGTTGGTAGAGTGAATTTTTTAGGCTAACTGTTGAATAGTTGATGTCATTTAAATTAGATAACTTATTTACTATTTTAGTTGACATCACATAAACTGAAAATTCATGTGACAACGATCTGAAAATCAGGGGAGAAAACACAGATGTAATCAACTGTCTCTTCACACATTCTCTGGTAAAATAAACGCCCAAATTCACATGACCGTTACTTTGAAGTATTTAGTGTTTTTGGTGAAGTCGACTAAATAGTTACTAATGTGTGACTAAATGTGTGTGACTAAATGAACTCTATAGAATTTTTATCAAATTTTTATTACTTATTTATAATTACTTGTTTTATTAATGCCCTTCCTTTAAGTGTAAAATAAACTGCGATTTGAGGTGGAAAACAGTTATTTGCAGTCGTACGAGAAAAAAAACTATCAAATTAATCGGAATTAGACATTATCTTTCAGAAAAAAAGGAAAGCTTACAATTTTATGTCAAACCTCCTCCCCCTCCCCTCTCTATCTCTCTCCCTGGCTACACCCTTCGCTACACCCCTGGTACAGACATCTCTGACGTTACGACCCTCTATGTTATGACGGGATCCCTGTGGAGGTTCCGGTTCACGAAGGTCGTCGACTTGTCAAAGAAGATTTGGCGGGAAGTCATGTGAAGCGTTCCATCAAGCGAACCGAAGATAATCTCCTATTATTGTAATTTAAAGACCCCTAATAATCCAGGTAAAGACTACAACATAAAAAATGAACTTCCTGCTTCACGTTTTAGCTACTTTCAACGTATTTGCAACTTCAGAAAAGCACTTATAAGAAGTTCACTGTTTCGTGTTTTGTTTATCACACACTTTGGACATTTGAAGAATCCAAAAAACAAACATGGTTTTAAAAAAAACGTCACGTAAGCCAAGGCCAATAATTTGAATTGAATTTGACAGAGTTGGGGTATTTTGTTTAACCAAAAGTATATGCTGTTACACTTATCAAAGTTGGAGTATGGTCCCGTTTCTAGCTACATGAAAAGGTTACGACCAACTTCAGTAGACTACCCGTCAAGTGTTCCGAGGACGAAGCAAAATATTACTATTAATCTGTGCATATCATTTGACCGGGTATTGTGTACGCAAGGTCGTAATTTGTTAAGGCTTCGTTTTCGATAATGTATATTTTGAGTCCGTCACACTTATTAAACTTGGTCATGTCTGTTCTCCATGTGATACATAGTTAATTTTAGGGTCAAATAGGGTAACTGTTTTGGCTATTTTGATTTTATTAAAAGTAGGCTGTAAAATAATATTCATTTTTGGTTTTATATTTCGTTCCAGTAAAAGATGAACTATGACGCCAAGCCATATGTTCCAGTATTCTCACCTCCTGGTCAATACAATGCACACATACCATCACCTAATGCTGCCAATCTTCCTACTTCATATCATCTTATTCCTGTCAAGTGCAGTCAAGGAATGATACAGACATCACCTGCAAACCAATATAAACCGTTCTACTACGCAACTCCACTACCACCCCCATCCTCGTGGGTTTGTAATTTTCATTCACCCCCTGTACCAACAGTAGCTGCTTTCCCATTCATTGATGGACAACCAATGATATCTGGTTTTAAGAATAACACATCTCCTCCAAGATTTCATGTATCTTTGCTTCAAGAGAATAGAAAATCTGAATTTCAACTTGGTTCCTGGCATATACCTAAAGCACAGAACCCTGAGTCTGTTTTTAAGCAAGCTGCTCTGAGGAATGGTATAAGAGTTGAAGAATGTCCCAAAAAAGGTAACTGGAAATGAAAAAGTTTGGGCTGTATGTGGGTTAGTAAACTCCCCGCCAGGGGGGAGGGGGTGTACTTTTTTTATCCAGGTGGTAGGGGAGATCAGTGGTTCTTGAAGGATTAAAAATATTTCCTACTAAAAAGTCAGCTACATGTACATAACATGACTCTGTACCTTTTAGCGTCAATGTTATTTATTATTATTTTTCATATTATTGATTATCTATATTTATTGTTTCCAATAAATGATTAAAGTTAATGGTATCAGCACAATCAATAATTTCAATCATATTGTCATACCTTTGAAGCTTGGTTTACAATAGCATTGTACTAGTAGTCTGAAGCAACATATGCAGACTTGGTAGTGTACTACTCATTAACAGTGTGTGGCTTTTTTTGTTAAAATGAGTCTACATATGTTGCTTCTGATTATGATCACAATGCTACCAGGCTTGAGGGGTTGAAATCAGCTATTTTAATTTATGCATACCTTTTATGGGTGGTTTTCCAAACCAACTGCCAATCACACTATCACTTGGACAAAGGGAGTGCCCAGGGTTCGTGCTACTCTTTAAACTCCTTGAAAACTCCTTAAATTTAATTCACCTTTTCAAGGGCACTTGAAAAGCTCTCAAATTTCATGATTTTAGTGAAACTACTTGAAAACTCCTTGAATTTTTGCTTTGATCATTACTTGCATGGTTCTGAAATAGATMTAGTCWGAAAGATTGGAAAATCTGAAAGTCAGCTATGTGCAACCACCGTGTAAAACCTTGGCATATTTAGMTGAACATACTCCTTGAAAATTCATTTTTGGGTCCTTGAATACTCCTTGAATAGTCCTTGAATTTTAAGTGTTTACCTCAGCACGCACCTGGAATGCCCCTCCCCTCCCCCAGGGTAAACACAAGGGCTGTACAGTAGGATGTAAGGATGTAAGGGCCGGACACTCATGTAAGAAGGGTGGGGATGATTGTACAAAAAATATATTGAACCCTAAAAGAGAGTGTTTGGGCGTGGTGCTGGTTCAATTTTAACCCTAAAAGATACCACTCTGAAACACTAGATGAATCATTTTAAACAAACATTGTTGATATAAGCTAAAAACCAACAACTTTCCCTTTTTCACCTCTAAGAGTGTTAGTGACTTAGGATATCCTCCCATAAAAGATATGACGATCATCTGCACCCTTCATTATATTACTCCCTGGATTAAACTTGAGGTCTGTCAACTCAGAGTGCATATCTCTAATCTTAAACAGCAAAGAACTTGGGTTACACTGGCAGATATTATAGTTGTCAGCAGTTTGAAATGCCAACAAGATCATGGGCTCTAACCTCTTTTCCTACAGGGTAAATTGGCATAAGCTTGTGGGGTTATTTTCATGGTTGTAACATGGTGCATTTTTTTACTCATTTGATTTCAATACACATAAACTTGGCTGTTACAAAAGTACATTGAAATTTGGTACTTCACTTATCAAAAGTGCAAGAGCTACCATAGAGTTATTTATGGGAAGCATGAGTCGCATGTGCTACTAATGCACTGCCCCTCACCAATACGACCCAGGATTGAGTCCTGCTGGGCTTGGTGTCATATGTTAATAGAGTTGTTTGTTGGTTCTCTCCTGTGCTCTTTTTTCTCTGGGTTTTCCAGTTTTTCCTCCCTCCACAAAAGTCAACTTCTAAATTCTAATTCGATCTATCGGCTGCCTTATCGATTGAGTTGCAAAACCAGTTAGGCGTTACGCTGTCCACCCAGGAGTGGTAAATTCATTAGATTTAGATTTTAGATTTTACAAGGTAGTCACATTTTACAAAACCAACCAATACTAAAACAAACACAATGACAACAACATAACAAAAGCAGAGATAAAACAGCAACAGAAAGAGCATATGAGAACACAATAACAATAAAAGGAACAACAAAGCAAACAAAAAATTACTAACTACAACAGAATAACAACAACGAAAGCAAGTACAACAAACGCCATCAAGAAAATCAAGCATAATCATTAAACATTAGGTTCATTCACCTCCCTGGTTTGTAGACAGAACTAGCACTTGAGGAACTCAAGTAGACCTTGGCCGTAATGTTTTCCCATTTCAGACCACGTGTCATTCTCTTGAGAATAAGATTCTTTGTGTGAGTTGTATCCATATTCATATAAAGATTTAGCATTAGAGTCAATCCTCTGTAGCTGTTATTTGGTTTGGGTTGTCTTTAGTTACATCCTTAATTCAATAGACCTTTGGTGCAATGTTTTCCCATTTCAGACCACGTGTCATTTTCTTTTGAGAATAAGATTTTTTATTTGAGTCGTATCCATATATTTCTTTGTCTTCTCATGCACAACCGTCAAAAAAGAAAAAACCCTAGGGAATGACATGTGGTCTGAAATGGAAAACATTACGCCCAAGGTAAATAGATCTATTTGTATATCCCTACATCAATTCCTTTACTTTAATAATGATGTTGAATTGAATTTTTTTAGGAAAAGCAATATTGACTTCTGAAGAAAAGAAAAGCACTTCTCGAAACATGTTATCACACAACCAAGAAGACGACTCTTCCATTCAACCTAAGGCATTCTCTAGAGAACAAGATGAAAAGCAAGATTCTTTGCCTGCATCTTGTAGAGACATAAGTTTCCCATCGAGTAAAACGAATGCAAAACTTTTTCCAGAGGATGATGCGATCAGCCAAACGTGTTCAGAAAATACAATTTTTTCGGCGCTCACTCGTTCAATGTTCAGGGAAAAGCGAATAGAACCTCTGGAGCCCTGGGTACAAACCTGTCGTATTGGCGTTGATAAGGAGGGATTGGCTGGTGATGAACCAGAGACTTTGAGAAAAAAGTTTGATCATGCGCAGTTAAATCCTGATGAATTTTGCAAAGAAAACGAGAGTAAGCAACTAGAAAGTGCGAAAACTACGACAATATGTCATCCCAGTGAAGTTTTCTTGGAAACAAGTCCTTGGTCTTTTAATGGTAGTTTGCCAGAAGTAAACAAGTGTGATTCGAAAATGGTACCCTCTGTGGTAAGCAATACCGATGTTGAAGACCAGGGGAATGCGATTGAAAACAAAATAATCTCCTTGGATTCTCAAAATGAGGTTTCAATCGAAAACTTTGTTCTTAATGTTATTTTTTGCGCTGTTAATTCTTTGTTGCAAGAAAGCGGAAAGCAAGATAACACTGGATTCGAGAATACTATTGCGCAAGATGCCTTTGACTTAAAAATGAATGGTGATGGTCAAGAAAAAGTTAGTGGTAAGGTAACCGACCTTTTGTCGGACTCCAAGGTCGATAATGATGGAATAGCGCATCATCTTGAGGGGGAAATGGACGCATTTGTTAGACCTGTGCTGGAAAATGAAATAGAAAGTAATAGCGTTTTCCCAACTAACGATTGTAAAGATTATACGGAGACAGCACCAAACCAAGCCGAATCATTGCCGAACCCAGACGAAGCAATATCGAATCCAAATAAACCAATGTCGTACCCAGCCGAAGCGATATCGAATACAAACGAACCAATGCCGTACCCAGACGAAGCAATATCGAATCCAAACGAACCAATGCCGTACTCAGACGAAGCAATATCGAATCCAAACGAACCAATGCCGTACTCAGACGAAGCA